CGGCGCCGCCGTGTGGTATAGCTTGCCGCCAGTCTATGGTTGCCCAGGCGAAGAGCGCCAGAACCAACCCGAGGTGGGCAGCACAGCAGCGCAGGCTGGGACTGGGCACAGTCTCGGGGGAGGAAAACCGCTACCGTTCCCTCGTTTTCCCCTTTTGGGCATCCTGGGAGTCCCTCGTCGCCACCGCTGGATTCGCCTCGAAATTCCGGTTCGTACGCACCCCGGGAGAGGTCCGCGGAGTAGCGGTATTGGTTTCCTTTGGGTTTTCCCACAAATCTGGGGCACGTATTCGGACATCGGGCGGGCTGCTGCTCTAACAATCTCGACATGGTTCTTATAATTTGGCATCTGGAAGCGTTTTTGGGCCCCGAGGCCAACAACCAGAAATCCGGAATGAAAACCGTCCCTGAGGATGAAACCTCTAGGGCCCGCGGATTGAAACAATAAGCACCAAAGCATACACAACCCATCGGATGTCCTGGTCACCAGGGCTGGCACGGACATGGAAAATGAGAAGGATCACGAGCTGGAGCTGGAGGAGGAGGAGGAGGAGAGAGGAAGGGGGGCGGAGGAGGGAGAAGGGAGGATGGTGGAGGGAGGATATATGCTCGAGTGAGGAGGACGCGAAGGGGAGGGTTAAGTGAGAAGGGCGCATGGTCGGGGCAGACCATCCCCTTGCACATGAGAAGAAACCGTCGCTTGCACAGAGGAAGATAGAGAGGCATGGATAGAGAATTGAAGGGGGAGAGAGAGAGTGAGAGAGAGAGATAGATAGATAAAGAGAGAGAGAGAGAGACGGAGAGCGCCTTCTGAGAAACCTACTCGGGAGCGTAAACTTGGAATGCGCTCGCCGCCTCAACGGGAACGCCCGGCATGGGGACCTCGAGTATAGACTCATCGATCGGCCGAGAAAAACTAGATCACAGCTCCTCCTTCTTGCCCTTTTCATCGTCCTCGTCCTTGTCGTCTTCTTCTTCCTCCTCTGCTTCTTCCTCATCGTCTGGCACCTCCACCTCCTTCAGGGGCGCATCCGGGTCCACGCCCAGCTCCTTGGACATTAGCCGGTATACGCGGTTGACCAGTGCGGAGGGGTCGGCGATGTCGTAGCCAGACTCGATCAACGCAGTCTGGAACAGCACCTGCGCCGTGTCCACAGCCGAGGAGTCCTCCTTATTGGCCTTCACCTTTGCCAGCAAGTCTGCGACGACCGGATGGTTTGGGTTGATCTCCAGGGTCTTGCGGCCTGCCATCATGGACATCTGGTCCTTGTTCTGGAACGCTTGGGCCTTCATGACCCTCTCCTGCTGCGCTGAGTAGCCGAACTGCGACGTCACCACAACCACTGGAGAATCGGTCAAACGCTTCGACACTTCCACCTTCTCGATCTTTACCCCAGACTCCTTCATCGCACCCTTCTCAGTAAGTGTGGTGAGCGTCTCCTTCCACCAATCAGTGAGAGGCTTGTACATGTCCTTGACCTTAGTGAACTTCTTCTTCTCCTCCTCCGACTCGTCGAGTTTCACGTCTGCCTTTTGGATCGACACGAACTTCTTCCCCTCGTAATCTGCCAGCTTCTGGATGCAAGGCTCGTCAAGATGGTCCGACAGCATGAGCACCTCCAGGTCTTTTTTCTTGAAGATCTGGAGGGCGGGGGCCTTTTTCATTGTTTCCTCTGAGTCCCCAGACATGTAGTAAATGCTCTCCTGGCTTTCCTGCATACGATCCAGGTACTTGTCCAAGCTGATTTCCTTACCATCGGACTTGGTGGTCAGGAAGCGCAGCAGTTTGGAAAGCTTTGATCGGTTCGAGTCGTCCTCGTAACAGCCCATCTTCAGGTTCTTGTTGAACTCTTTGTAGAACTTTGTGAACGTTCCCTCCTCGTCATCTTTCTTCTCTTTCTTTTCCTCCTTTGTCTCGTCGTCCTTCTTCTCCTCTTCTTCCTCGCCCTCCTCTTCCTCGTCGTCGCCAGACTCCTCCTCCTTCGACAGCTTCTTCATCAGCTCAAGCACCTTGCGCACGAGCTTCTTGGAGATCACCTTCATGATCTTGTTCTGCTGCAGCTGCTCGCGAGACACGTTCAGCGGCAGGTCGTCGGAGTCCACGACGCCGCGGACAAAATTGAGGTACCTCGGCAGCAGCTCGTCGAACTTCTCCGCCACGAGAACACGGCGGACGAAGAGTTTCACCTCGGACTTCTTCTGCCAGTAGTTGTCCATCATGTCGAAAGGAGCCTTCTTTGGCAGGTACAGGATGGACTTGAATTCGATCTCCCCCTCAGCGTTGAAGTGAGTGTACGCCAGCGGGTCAAGGTAGTCCTTCGAGATACTCTTGTAAAACTCCGAGTACTCCTCCTCGGTCACATCTTCCTTGTTGCGCAGCCAGATGGCCTTCTGTGTGTTCACCTGCTCCCATTCGTACACTGTCTTCTTCTCAGGCTTCTTCTCCTCCTTCTCCTCCTCTTCCTTCTCCTCGTCATCCTTAGTTTCGACTTCGTCCTCATCATCTTTGTCATCGTCTTCATCATCCTCGTCGGCCTCCGCCTCGACCTCCTTTTTCACTTTGACGTAGATGGGAAACTGGATAAACTGTGAGTACTTCTTCGCGACATCCTTGAGCTTGCTTTCGGAGAGGTAGTCGTGTGCGTCTTCCTTCAAGTGCAGGGTAACGCGCGATCCGCGGCCGAGCGTGTTCCCGCGGGGGTCAGGGACTACGGTGAAGGAGGCGTCCGCGCTGGACTCCCAGACGTGCTGCACTGGGTCGTCGTTGCACTTGGATGTGACTGACACCTTGTCCGCCACCAGGAAGGCGGAGTAGAAGCCGACTCCGAATTGGCCGATGAGGTTGGTGTCCGCCCCCTCGGCCATCGCCTCCAGGAAATTCGTCGTTCCGGACTTGGCGACGGTGCCGAGGTTGTTGATCAGGTCGGCCTTCGACATGCCCACGCCGGAGTCCTGGATGGAGAGCGTCTTGCCATCTGGGTCCATCTCGATCTTGACCTCGAGGTCCTTGGTGTCACCGAGGTAGCTGTCGTCCTGGACGCTGTGGAACCGGGCCTTCTCCAGCGCGTCAGCGGCGTTGGAGATCAGCTCGCGCAGGAACACCTGCTTGTCGGTGAAGGGCCCGTAAACGTGACCCGGGGGCGAAGAGCTCCCCTGACTTTCGGCGACAGCCAAACGTATTATGCACACTACGGTACCGGTCCTCTACACACCAGCGTTCTGATCGAGCCTGCTGAATACAACATCGCTAAAGTTCGGAAATACCGCGAAGGGAAGGGGGCAGCAAGAGTTAGGTCGGACGTGTCATCTTACAGGCGGATTCTGGACGAAAAACTAAGACTAGTCAACAATATTCAAAACATGCTGAAAATTATCTAAAACAATCGTCCCGTCACTATTTTTGATTACTTTTGAATAATCATCCTGTAGAGGGGCACGCCCGATTTAAAGCAAGAAGAAAACAGAACAAGGAGCACATATCAGAGACAAGAGGCACACAGGTGTCGGCACACAGGAGAGCAAAGCAGACCTGCTTGTCGGTGTACAGGGAGTTGATGATGATGTCCATGAGACGGCTGACCTCAGCCTGGAACTCGTGCTTCTCCGCCCCGTCCTCAGCAAAACAGAAGATGTCTTGGGTCAGCGCTCGCGCACCCCCCCCTTCACTTACGCAAGTTGGGCACGCCACTCTACAGGAGGAATTATCAAGAATAGCAAAACAAACGGGGAGGCATGTTTGTGTTTTTTGCTCTTCCTATGCTTGAGTATGTGTTGATTATGCTTCATGTTTCATCCAAAATCCGCCTGTCGGAGGACATGCCCGCCCCGAGCCTCTCCCTGGCGCGCGAAGCGCGCGCCAGCGGCGACGCCAGCGGCGCCTCCCCAGGGGGGGCGCATACAGCGCCAGAGCCGAGAAGTCCGAGCGGACTTTGCGAGAGCGCCTGCACACGCCGCTCTGCCGTCCTTTCGGGTCCTCCATCGCGCCCCTGCCTGCCGCGGAGACAGGGGAGGGAGCAGTCGCCGAAGCATAAGACATGAACATAAAAAAAACTCGCAGGTCCGCGCGGACTCCTCGGATCGGCGCTCGAACCCCCCTCCCTGGCGCGCGGAGCGCGCCAGGGGCGGCGCCGCAGGCGTCTCTTCACGCAATTCTGCCTTCTTCGGTCGGGGGCGCGCAAGCGTGGATTAAGCGATCCGTGGATCTGGAGCGCGGTCGCCAAATCCGTGGATCGGGGGAGGCGCCCTCCCCAAAATGCGGCCGGTGCCGCCCCGCTCGGCGGCGGGACCCCGCGGTCCCCCATGGAAGCGGGCCCCGTCGCTACTCCACGCCCCCCTGATCCGTGTTTTGCGATCACCCGACTTCTTCGGGTCCTGCATCGCATTCCTGTCTGCCGCGGAGAAGCCGTCGACCACCTCTTTCGGAGAGACGTAAGACTCGGGAACGAGGGACTCGGGTTGGCCTGACGGGGCCATCATGAAAACGACGAGGCCCAATCTGCAAAAAAGGCGCGAACCCCCGCTGCAAAAATCCCACGAAAACCGGACCGTCAAAATCCAGGACGCGCTCGTCAGAACACGTCGGCAAACCCGAGTTCCGGCTTACTCGAGTCTTACGTGTTTCCCCGAACCTTCTCCCCCGCGGCGGCCTCGTCCTCGGCGCGGGCGCGCCCACAGGACGCGGCCAGCAGGAGGCCGCACAGGAGCATCCTGCGAGGGGGCGCCATTCTTCGCCCGCTGCCTTCCTCTCCGAGGGCGACGAGATGCACACAGAGAGCTGGGTCGGGCATGTCCTCCCACAGGCGGAATCTGGGGAAGAGAAGCGCAACATAATCAAAACGTGGAGCGGCGCCATGCCACCCCCTGCCCCCTGGCCTGGCCCCAGGGCGGACCTGGGCACAGCTCACCTGGGCCTGGCCAGGGGCGGGGGACGTGCTCCTCCTCCTCCTCCGTCTTCTCCTCCTCCTCCTCTTCCTCCTCCTCCTCCTTCTCCTCCTCCTCTTC